TAACAAAGACAGCAAAAAGAATGGACGAGTTTTAAGGTTAAATGAAGTAAATATAAAGATACCTTATTAGATATAAGGTTAATATTACTATGTATTCTTATTGAAAGGTAAGTTTCGTTTAAAGAAATAGCATTCTGATAGTGTCCTGTAGTTTATCTATGACCATTTTTCATTTTTTTATGTTCTTAATATAACCACGCCCTTCGGAAATTACATTATTCACACAATTTGCTCCTCTCGATTTTGGGATTAGAATATTAGTTAAAAAAAATAGTCGAGGGAATACGGTGTAATAACGAAGACGGATGAATACTTTATTTTTTCAAGCTTATCTTTAGTAGGTGAGGGGTAAAAAATAAAAAGTTCATTAAATTGAAACAGTGTATTTTTTGTATTAAATGGAAACAATGTGTGTACAATTCTTTGTAACAGACATATTTTTTAAGAAAGACAACCACAATACTTTTTTTATTAACGTCTGGCCTGGAATGTAGATTTTCTGAATCATTCAATTACACACATAGTTTACGATGCAAAAAGTGATAATGCTTGTACAATAGGTTTTCGTAGTCTTTTGTCATTATCTTATACACATATTTGTTAACCGATATTAGGTAAGCGTACTGCTTCAGTGAGGTAAAATAAACAGCAATAAATATCAGCCACATATATATATTTCTTTCGATTTCTGACACTTTCCTATGTAAGTTATTATCCCTCAGTACGTTTCTGCTTCACTAAAAATGCTTAATGAGCATGATATAAAAATAATTTCTTTCAAAGAAGCAAATACGGTGATGGTACCATCTTCATATGGGTAAAATCTGACAGAAAAAATTTAACAAACACAATGTAAAACAAAACTTCACAAAGTGCTGTAAAATAAAATATATTTTTATATAGTTATTCTTCTACAAGAAAGAACTTATATTGTAGAATAAATATTTATCTATAATTGTAATTCGGAAAATGTAAGGTGGCTCCATCTGTTGGATACAAACTAAAATTTATTGAGAGGGAATTTTAAAATATCAATGTAAGCGCTTCTACATTTGTAACTGTTAAACATGATGTTTTATAATGCATGATAATGCAGTTTTACAGTCAATCATAAATATATTTATGCGGAAACGTTACTCAGCGCTTTGAATACAGCGCAAAGTGTAATACGAATAGCTTAAACTAGTTTGCTCTTTATGCAAGCCTCTTAAAAGCAGAAATATACTTTCGCTATTTAGACGATGAATATGTAAGTAATTTAAAATATATATAAATGAATAACATTCCCCTTTTTACTCAATACTTCCAGGTTATTATTCGCTATGTCTTAAGACAAATTATTAAATTTTCCTTGCATTATTTTCTAAAGGAGTAACGCTTATCACCAATGCAAATTAGAATGGGTCTTCTGCATTTGAGCTAAGTATCATAAAGTTAAACTGCAATGATCAATTTAGCATTCCTCAGCTAGGTAATATAATATACTCTAAATTTTTTATGTAATCTACTCAGCTGCAAAACTTCTGCCGTTTTGTTTTTGAAAAACTTTTACTTCCTCTTACTCTTATTTTCCTTTTTATATGCTTTTTAGACTTGTTAATTGATTTTAACATAAAAGCAAAAGTATTGCTAGATACTTCAAAATCCTTCTTTTGGATTAATGCCGGATTTCAAAGTCCCGCAGTAAATACAAAAATAAGATCTTTGGTTTCATCTCCAGGGTCATAATCGTGAAAATTCTGCAAAGAATGGTGCAGCGGTGCATTTTGAAAGTTTTTTGAAGCCACAAGACTACGTCTTCATAAATTCTGCAAAATACACTGAACACAGACCTGCCATTCGATAGGCAAGGGCTCATATCGTTATAAGAGCGAATTAAAATCTAAATCATTGTTAATTTTAGAGTGGCATCAAGTGAAGAATGTTGAGAATCACTGCGCTGGATTATAATAGCATTACATCTATTCCTTTGTTCAATTTCCCACCAGCTGTTAGCAATAAAATCCCTGAACACTGGTAGTTCGATCCGAGATTCGAATCCCCGAATGTGCTAGCTGCATGGGCTAATAAATGCCATGTTTCTAATAAGAATGTGACTAAACATTCTATAATGTTAAGTGCTATCCCTTAAACAATGAATAAATAAATTTATATTTTGTAATGTGAAATATTGTGGTACCTTCTAGATTTAAATGAAGTATTGCGTTGTCTTTCAAAAAGTGTAGAATCAAGCGTTCCATTTTCAAACAAAGAGCAAATGAATTTGCGTTTTGTAATGTGATACACTTGTTAGATCACTCCTCCTATCTTAACTGTAGTTTAATTTCTCTCCGAAGAACTATTTTTGTTATAATTCGGAAAGTTTGAACAAGAGCAGCTGTAGAATGATTCAATTCAAGTGTCTCATATGTGAAAGAGTCTTCTTTTATGCACGAAATGCTTCAATTTTAAAATAGTAGCTGAGATACAAAATAACCAGGGATATCAGTTAATATTAACTATAAATATATATATACGTAAATTTAAAAGGTAAACGAAACATAATATACAATTTTTAGATAAAATCAGAGATGGAAATAATAAAATTTGAAATCATGGGTGGGAGAAATTTGTATAATTTTGATACAATTTCATTTTTCATAATTGCGGTAGATAGTTTTTATCCCAGAACTTTTGAATAAACATCTCATTTTACACTTTAAAATAGACTAAATACTCCATGCAGTAGAATGTACTTAAATTGTACAATTTGTCGATTAAAGAAATTAGACTTCTTTTAATTTGATCAAAAAATGTAGCTTAAACCCTGCGTTTGACTCGATCACATTACTATTTTTTTCCCTTACAAATATTTGAAAATTAGAGACTCAATAGCTTAGGCTATTAAGTCTGTAATTTTCAAAATAGTGAGTATAATAGAGTAGTTATATTAATAGCCTAAGTTCTTATAATAGAGTATAACAGCTTAGGCTATTAATATAACGCTCTCGAAATAGTTGCTTTTTGTATTAAAATAAATCTTCTAAAGCATGATAAACAGCTCTCAGAAATTAATATAATATATAGTTTCGTCTAATTAAATTAGCAGTTCTTAAATTTTAAATGATTTAAATATAAATAGAAATTGTAAGTTTGCTTGAAATACATATTTCGTTGATTATTTTTATAGTTCTCCTTTTAGATCTAATGTCCATAGTTAGGGGGACACAAAAAGATTGCATTGAAAACTTACGCTTTTTACAACATATTCTTTTTAAAGTTGAATAGTTAGGAGCCATTAAAATAATTTTCCTGTAGAATATGAGAAAACGCTGTCAGTTATTTACTTATTTTGACACCTACCAAAAATTTTTCTTTAGTCTTTTCTAAAGGCAGATAGCCCTCGAGAGCTTTGCAGTAATTAAATAAATCAAAACAAACCTTACTAAAATATAAATTACAATTTTACGAAGCATATTGTAAGTTTACTTGTCGAATTATAAATTCTTCATTAAATTATATTATAAGTAAAAATAACATGAATAAACTATAACTTCTTTTGTAATATTATAACTTTACTAATTAACTTCTTCTTTAATTTAACAAAAAATTGATTATAAAACTTTCTTTATCTTACGTATATCTCAATTTTATTTGAAATATTTCAGTTATTTGTGCTTACTGCCTTGACAGAAAAGAATATAAAGTAATCTTAAAAAGAGAGACGAGTTTCCAATTCAACAAAAAGAATCGTTTAAATGATTAAATGATGACCCTGCTATTGCTTCTAGCCTTGCTTAGTCTCAGCTAAGACGTTAACTCTTAAAGGTACATGTAGCTGCTGATAAGCTGATCTAAATCCAGTCCGGAAACTGAATTCCCGGGGTTTATTTATATTATATTCAGTAGTTTGAGGTTAGAAAGGAAAATTGTGTAGCTGGATTTAATATGAACAACCATAGATTTGGTCTTTGGTTGAAATGGTCTCCTACTGTATAGCTGTAAATTATATTTTTATTTATCCTAAACTTAAGCCTGTTTCTATTGTAAATAGTATTTTGTGCATTGCTAAGTGCGAATATTGCTTTGATTTTGATTAAAAAACCTAAGTAAGGTTTTAATTCGATTAATAACCTAAGTAAGTTTTCTTACCACATTTTGAGTCTTGTTTATTACTAAATAACGAAGAAAACTTGTTAATTAAGACTCATATTTTTGATAAAATTGGTTAAAAGTATTAGTACAGACGGAAAATTTAAAGTATCTAAAATCCTTAATAGCATACAGCAACCTAACTTCAACCAAGTTTACGCCTTGATTTGTAAGCGAATAATCTTTTGTATAAACTACATACTCTATAAAAATTATATTTTTTACATAAATTCTAGAAAATTCTGAGGTTAAACGTTTACATGCATGAGAATTTCCTCATATTGCAAAACAAAAAACATAATACATAACACATTGTTTTATTGTATTATCAATTATTAATATGGCATGTCTTCCTCATGGAAAACCGAGAAGCTCTAGCACGAAAGCCGAGAATTTCGGAAGCTTTTTCGAGTTGTGTGGCTTCGCCAGTTCAAAGGGACTCAAAATTGACTTAAATTCACTTAATAATGCATGATTTAGCTTATTGAACTATCTCTAATATGATTTTGATGTAAAATGAATTCATTTTTACTTAGATCTTTTAAAGTTTAGGTTTTTTGGCTAATTATTTGGTAATTTTCTCTGAATTTTATGCTGAGAAAGTCCTGAGTAGGAAAGGAAAGCTTTTCTTTATCAAATAAATTTGAAATAGCATAGAAATAAAATTAATAACTTATGAACGCACTGTTGTGTATATAAATTTGGTAATGTGTCACTAATTGGTGTAAAATTAAATTGAATACAGATATTAACATTGATTAACACTAGTTGAATCTTTATAAAAAGTTCTGCAAATAATTACAGTAAAGTAAGATAAATCAAATCAAGTAAAGTTTAATACGAAACGTTAGGCTGGAAATCAGTAGGAATGGGAGAAATGTATCTGCACAACTTAAGTTTCCTTCATTCATGAATTTTATTAATTGCTGGGGATAATTTCCTTAGTAACGCTAAAAATTAAAAAACTGGAAAATTCGATGACCAACCAGGAGACGGGGAGGCGTAAAACTGGGAGTCTTCATATAAAATTGAGAGAGTTGGCAGCTATGACATCTTGACGTACATCTACACACAGTATCTTCAAGTTCATGAAGTACACTTCATTTGAAATGTTCAGAAAACCTAAAGATATAAAATGAGCTTATTTTCAACATGTAACGTTTAGCTGTCAATCAATTTATGCAGTAGCGGAAGCGCAAAATATCAAAAGACATTTCGAGTGTTTTATCGTACTTTTACTAAAGAAGCTCTTGAAAACCAAAGATACGACGAGAGTTGTTCATTCATTTTTTATCACAAATAAATACAGGTGCAAAGAAGGTAATTTTAATCGCTTTGTTGCGGTATAAGTTCCCATTAAAAGTTACATATTCATACTGAATCATGCTGAGAAATGAAACTATTGAAATAAGATTACATGAAGTTTGAATAGCTAATACTTATAACAAATTGAATATTTAAAAGTTAAGAAGTAAGAGAGAATAAGAGTTAAGAAACTTGAATGCCTGTAAAGGAAAAATTTATTTTGTAATTGTTTTAATGATTATAAAATAATATATATTAGATTAGTATCAGAATATTTAATTAAGAATAAATCTTCATGAAGTTTTCATATTATGACTACTTAAACTGCTAAAACATAAAAATTCATTTATTCGGTTTTTAAAATCTCAAACAGGAAAAGTTAATTTAAAAAAGTAATAATAATGGGATAGTTATATGCTAATATAGTAAAATTAGAAATATAAAAATAATGCAGTTTGAATAGTTTTATAGCTATTGAAATCCTCGTGTAACATTCGGTCAGAAGTGTCAGGTTTATGCTTCATGTTGTTGTTCGAAAAAAGTAAATTTCCAAACTAAAGTTTGATTAAATGGATTTGAACTGATATTAAATTAGATGAACCGAAATATCCTAGTTGAATAATTAATATTTTAGGGAAACTAAGGTCCTCAAAACCAATCAAATGATAAAACTAATTTAAAGACTAAACTAATCAAATGACTAAACTAATTTTAAAACTAACTTGAACATAAAGGTGATTTTTTTCACCAGCCAAGCTAAGTTTATGCATTGATTTCCAAGCGAATAATTGTTTGTATAAACTACATACTCTACAAAATTATATTTTTTACTTAAATTCTAGAAAATTATGATGTTAAATGTTTACATGCATGAGAATTTCCTCCTTTATAAGAATTCAGCTCCGGTTAGTGCAAAAAAGTACACTAAAATTTAGAAAGGGGGGGGAAGTGGGAACTTTGTAAATTAAAATAGAGGACACATATATTTTGAAAAACTCCTTTTACCAAGTTAATTTAATTTACTGTCTCTTTTTTTTTCTTTCTACTTCGTGTTTTATATGCGCAGAAAAATGCGCATTAGTAATCAAGCAGCAGAAAAATGCGCATTAGTAATTAGAGATAAAAATTTTCAATATTTTAGACATTTTCTTAACGCTAATTTCGTTAATATAATTATTGAAACATTTGTAATCTTTAAACCTGGTATGGGGTTCTATCCCAGGCAAATGGGCTGACTGCATGGTTGGCATTTGTGGTTTTCCCCATTTGTCACGTGAATACAAGCTAGTTTCCCTCAGAAAGTGTTGCACGAAAGTATGCCTCCTGTTAGGCAGATAACATTCGTCGCTCTGCCATTTCAAATAAAGAAATAAAAAATCTAATAACAAAGATCAAATTCTCTAGCGCCTGTTGCGACCTTACATGTTTTCTCAGTAAGCAATTATGTAGAGACATTAGGATTTTTCCAGGCCGTAGAGATGAAAAATTAGCAAACGCCTTCGCCAGGAATCAAACCACGGAACTCTGGAATACCGGTCCAGTGTGCAGAACCACTACACCACGAAGGCACGCTAGGAAAGCGAGAGAAATACCTTATAATTATATTCAAATGATAATACATTATATAGAGCTTTTAGACTTTTCAGTCTCTGCAGTTTTTCATTGAACCTGGTAAGCTATCCTTTGAGATGTTTACCACAGAAAATATTTATGTGACGTTTTTGAAATCTTCTGTGAGTTATTGAGCTTTAGTAAATATGTTACAGGAATAATTTTTTAATATTAGTAAAGGACACTGAATCACAAAATGCTCTTTGATTTTGTGACACTGAAAATTTGCTGAATCACGTATAGCTTTGCAACAGCTGCCTGATGGTACGCCAAAGTATTTTGATTCACTATGGATATTTCAACGACATATTTGATTTGAGAGATGGTAAATTCAGTGCGAAAACCTTTTACATTTATGACTGGAACCTAGCATTAGAACATAAATCCTGATTTGTGACTTTTGCGAAGCGCATTTATAGGTAATCAAAGTATTTTGATTCTCTATGGATATTTCAATGACAGATTTGATTTGAGAGATGGTAAATTCAGTACGAAAACCTTTTACATTTATGACTGGAACCTATCATTAGAACATAAATCATGATTTGTGACTTTTGCGAAGCGCATTTATAGGTAATCAAAGTATTTTGATTCTCTATGGATATTTCAATGACAGATTTGATTTGAGAGATGGTAAATTCAGTGCGAAAACCTTTTACATTTATGACTGGAACCTAACATTAGAACATAAATCATGATTTGTGACTTTTGCGAAGCGCATTTATAGGTAATCAAAGTATTTTGATTCTCTATGGATATTTCAATGACAGATTTGATTTGAGAGATGGTAAATTCAGTGCGAAAACCTTTTACATTTATGACTGGAACCTAGCATTAGAACATAAATCATGATTTGTGACTTTTGCGAAGCGCATTTATAGGTAATCAAAGTATTTTGATTCTCTATGGATATTTCAATGACAGATTTGATTTGAGAGATGGTAAATTCAGTGCGAAAACCTTTTACATTTATGACTGGAACCTAGCATTAGAACATAAATCATGATTTGTGACTTTTGCGAAGCGCATTTATAGGTAATCAAAGTATTTTGATTCTCTATGGATATTTCAATGACAGATTTGATTTGAGAGATGGTAAATTCAGTACGAAAACCTTTTACATTTATGACTGGAACCTATCATTAGAACATAAATCATGATTTGTGACTTTTGCGAAGCGCATTTATAGGTAATCAAAGTATTTTGATTCTCTATGGATATTTCAATGACAGATTTGATTTGAGAGATGGTAAATTCAGTGCGAAAACCTTTTACATTTATGACTGGAACCTAGCATTAGAACATAAATCATGATTTGTGACTTTTGCGAAGCGCATTTATAGGTAATCAAAGTATTTTGATTCTCTATGGATATTTCAATGACAGATTTGATTTGAGAGATGGTAAATTCAGTGCGAAAACCTTTTACATTTATGACTGGAACCTAACATTAGAACATAAATCATGACTTGTGATTTTTGCGAAGTGCATTTATAGGTCTTTTAGGTCTTGAATTTGCTCTAGGTCTGCGTATAACAAAATGTAAAGATTGATAGAAGAAAGAGAAAAAAACCTCAAAAACCATTGAAACTGAAAGAAATCACTATTAAAACGCTATCTGTGCCCCTAAACAGCCTACTGTAAAATTATAATAACGAACCAATTAAAAAGAGCATGCGTGCTTGATTTGGAGTAAACTTCCAGCATAATTAGCTTCTGCACAAAGTTAAACTGATTTGAGAGCTACGTATGCTGGAATCGTCAAAAGATTTACAAACGTCGATCGAAAAATCGGTTCATCGAAAATTAAAAATTCTTCACTCCGGCCCCTCAGTAATGAATGGGAGAAATCTGTCAGCTGTATAATGAATATTTTCCTATCAGCAGCCTCAACGCCATGTAAGCAAACTTCCCGAGAATTGTTTTCTTTACATGGCAGAGAAGAATCACTACCTCCATGTATATCGGGAGAGTGATGTGGCAAACAGGGAAAAGAAAAATCGTGAATCTGTAAAGACAGAAATTATTACCTTCTTGTATATTGGGAACGTGATGTTTCTAATAAGGATCGGAGGAATCATTGATAAAATTAAAGAGAGAAATAATCGTTACCTCTATATATATTAGTTGAGTGATATCTTAAATAGGGAGAAGGAAAATCATCAGTCCATTTTAATACGTTTCTTCCTCCTTTCCGCATGCTTTCTTGATGTAACTGGAAGCATGCACGACGCGTATTCGGAAGGTCCGAAGTTCGAAACCCGGCGATGGCACTGTACAGTTTTCACGTTCCTGCAACAATATAACTTAATGATTCCGTACCAAAAACGGAGAAATAATTAACTCCATGTATATCGGAAAAGTAAGTGCTTAATAGAGAAATCATTAGTTTGGTTTAAAATAAGGAGGGAATTCAGTAATCAGTCCCATTAAAGATATAAGATCGGACTTTTCCATACTAGCAATGTCACTCTTATGTAGATAGATAAATTCAGTAATTTCTCTGAAGTAGGCAGGCAAATGTGAGAAATATTGCAAACGTAGTCATGACAATTAACTGACAATATGTTAAAAATGTATTTTTTTAAACTAAGGCATATATAGGGAAAATTACGCGTGGGCTTGTTATTAAGAATGACTGTAAACTGTTTAATAAAGATAAATGTTTCCTCGCTCCAACAGAAAATTCTTTAATTGCTGTTAAGAACAATAATTGTTTTCCTAAATTTTGGGTTGGACTGCATTTAAAATTCGCTATAAATATCCGCACAATAATTTTCTGTAACTATTTCCCGCTGCGTGTAAACTGTTAATACCCTAACTATGAACGTTTTAATAAGATGTATAAGAAAATTCGTAATCGAAATAAGGTGATCTCGATTTTCATGTCAAATATCTACTAGATGACCTTTCATTGGCACTTTGGCAGCTGAGGAAGATGGTTCGGTATTTAAATCATTGAAACTAGTCCTGGAAAATTTGCAAATATAACTCTGATTTTTGTTATTTGACTTCTAAAATAATCTACCAGATGGTTCGAAACTCTGAATATATTTTTTATTTGAGATATGAAATAAAAATGTAACGAAAAAGCTTCCAGATTTAAAGTATATATTATTTAATAATAATATTATAGGTTTGTATCTCTTTCATTTCAAATATGATCAGTGACGAATCCTAGAACAAAGTATGATTTTACAGATTCA